GTTAGCACAGTGCTGACAGTTTTAGAATGGATTTGGTACAGTGTGTGATGAGTGTCCCTATTGGAATCAGACATTGTAATTCTTTATGTAGGCATATAGAGCAAAGTCTGAACAGTTCCCATAAAATTTGGCTGCAACATGAAATGAACTATGTTTTTTGTTTTGTGGGCTTTTTGTTTAGTTTTGGCACGTTGTATGTTATTGTTTTAGTTTGCTTGTTTTGATTCTCAGTTTTGTGTTTTTTTGCTGTAAGAAACCATGCCTTCAAGAGCCTGTTTGATTTTCTGCCCTGACTGCCCTCAGCGGTAGACTGTAACCTGACTGCCCTTTGTGATGGACCATAATCTGACTGCTCTCAGCGATGGACTGTAACCTGTAGAACCCTGACTTCCCTCAGCGATGGACTGTAAACTATGGACTGAAATAAGCCTTTTCCTTCCCTAAGTTGATTTTGGTTAGATGATTCTTTATCACAGCAACAGAAGGAAACTATAACAAACTTCATTATCAGACTCCAGGGAGTGAATTCCAAAGCAGCATTACACTGAACTACAAGAAACTTGAGGGCGTATGCATGGAATAGAACAACCCCAAAACACTAATTTGTAGAGGTTCTTATATGGGAGTGGCTAGTGACAGCTTCAACCATCAAGATGTACTGGTTAAGGCACAAACACTTCATTTTTTTTTCTGCCTTACTTGGCATTGAAAGTATCCCCCATGGAAGGCCTCATCCTCCCTGGGGAGCAGAAAGGGAATGAGATAGGGGGGTTGGTGAGGGGCAGGGGAGGAGGGGGAGAGAGAAGGAACTGGGATTGACATGTAAAACAAGCTTGTTTCTAATTTAAATAAAAATTACTTTAAAAAATGAAAGTGAAAAAGATGCACAAGATCAAAAGGAAGGAAGGAAGGAAGGAAGGAAGGAAGGAAGGAAGGAAGAAAGAAAGAGCCAGTTGTGGTGGTGCACGCTGGTAGGATTTACTGAAGGAGGCAGAGGCAGGAGGATCACGAGTTCGAGGCCAGCCTGGGCTACACATTAACAAGGACATCTGTCCAACCATGTTCATAGCAGCACTATTTGTAATAGCCAGAAACTGGAAGCAGCCTAGATGCCCCTCAACCGAAGAATGGATACAGAAAAAATGATACATTTACACAATGGAGTACTACTCAGCAGAAAAAAAACAATGGAATTTTGAAATTTTTAGGAAAATGGATGGATCTAGAAGAAAACATTCTGAGTGAGGTAATCCATTTGCAAAAAGACAAACATGGTATGTACTCACTCATATGTGGATTTTAGACTGGGAAAAAAAGAAAGAAAGAAAGAAAGATAGAAAGAAAGAAAGAAAGAAAGAAAGGAAGGAAGGAAGAAAAAGAAAGAATCCAGTGCTCCATGGTATCAGGCTAAGGGACAGTCTATGCTGCCTCACATCTTGCTTGTTTGCCGATTTCTTTGGAGGAGACAGTCTAAGGACTGCAGAGTAAGAAAGGAAAGGGTAAAATGAACTCTGGATTGCAGAGGGGCATTAGTAATGAGGTTTTATCATCATCAGGAGCTCAGGGCATAAGGAGTATGTGTTACTATATAATCGCATGGCGTGTGTCTTAGAGCATCCATTATGAAACAGTCTGAAGAATAGATATAATCGGTAGATCCAGGAACAGAAGAGAAAATACTGATGGATATTTTGTAGTAAGCATAGCTAAAACCACATTGGAAATCTAGTGTGTCACGGAAGGGCTCAGGGTCTACTTTTCATAACACCCAGATTATATATAGGTCTGCAATCAAAGAAGATCAGTTAAGAGTGATTCAAAACTACTTCTCAACTTTAACTTGAGTCCTTTGGAAACCATAAAAGAATCTTATTTAAATCTCCATTGGCATCACCATTTGGTTTTTATCTCTAAAGACCCCCCTCCATTGTAAAACAAGTACAAGGAAAGATTACAAAACATTCATTAGGTTGTGTTGATTTTTTTCCTTCCTACTTCCCTTCCTTTTTCTTTTCTTGAGTCATCTAAATGTAAATTAATTTCTCCATTAAATCCTTCCTTTTATCCTTTGCACTTCAAGTATATTCTCTGCCTGCATTCTAGTTCTGTTACAAAAAGGAAAATTCTAACAAGAAGATAGATCATTTGGAGAGTGAGAAGAGAAATTTATGATCAATGATGGTGAACCCCCAAGGGGGAGAGTCTGGGGACATCTGTATTAATGGAAACACCTGTGGCTATAGCTGGGAAACATCTGAGATGGACTCACTGAAGATTTAGAGACATAGGGAACAGGAAATAAAACAAACAAAAAAACCCCAACAAACTAGTCACTGCATTCATGACTGTGGAGGACAGTGGAATGGCCCTGTCAAGCTCAAACCAGTGAAGGGCCTATGTAATGGTAAGTAGGCATTTACCTCTGAGAACCTGGGGACCCAGGAATTGTAGGTGACAGTGAGACTCTAAAAGGATCCTGACACAGGGATCTTGAGCTGGGTTGATTTGCTGTCTTCCTTTCAGGTTGCTATGGGCTAGCAACAGGTTAGGAAAGGAATGAATTTAGTAATGTCCCCATATTTATACACAGAGCTGGAGTCAGAAGAATTCCACAGAAAGAATGAGTTCATCGTGGCCTTCACTGTCTTTGAGGCATCTCTAGATATAGGAAAACACTGTGGATTAGTAGAAAGAAGCAGGCCCATGCTTAATTTCGCTCTTCCCCTCCCCTGTGTTACTTTTCCTCTCTTCCTTTCTTTTTCCCTCTCCTATTTCGTCTTTAGTCCCCATCCCCCTTCACCCCATCTGTGAATCATTGCTAACAACCAGCAGAAATATGTCCATATACTGCGTGTATAAGTACAGATCAGCATCCCCAAGCTGTGCATTGCCATGGGGTCTAAATTTTGCTTTGGGGGATGAAATGGTGATCATGTGACACCTTTTGGTTGTGTCTGACAGTTTCATAGACATGAGATATGATAAGATAAGATACCCCTGGAAGAGGTTAAAACTACACGGAAGACTCACTTTCTATGTACTCTTACCCTAGAAACAGAAAGTCATTCTTTTTCTTCCTCCCAGAAAAATCACACATTTCAGAAATAGCTGCTGAGAAGGAAGTGAAATTTTTTCACAAGCTCACAGTCGATGGTGACGTAGGTTAAGCCAGGCTTTAGAAAGAGCAAAATTGGAAGAACATATCTGACTTACAAATTGGTGGCAAAGAATCAGACCATTTCAAGATATTCAATTCCATCTAATTGGCCACTTTTTCCATGTAGACAATCCAAGACTCACCTCTGCCTCAATCCACCCACAAGGCTAGGAAACCTGTCTTTGATCTTATATGTACAATATGTTTACCACTCCCAGAGAACTCAAATTGCATGGTCTACCTCCAATAACAGTGGCTGATTGACTAGGCCCTGGGACATAGAGTATGGCCATGTTTATCAATGATGATGGGATGACAAGGAAGTGTTACTTTTAGCTCTCTGAAGTCTCTGTATCCCTGATGATAACATGGTAGCTTCCTTTTACTCTTGTCTTTTTTCCCCCAGTGGGAAAATTAGTGGGAAAATTAGAGTTAAGATTAGAATCTTAACTCTAAAGCCATTCTACTGGTTACTTGAGAAGAGAAATATGGCATTAGATAAAATATATAAATAAAAGGCCAAGTCCCAGCAAGAAGATACCCTGGTAAGGAAGAAGACTTCCTGAATCAAAGCTTCACCATGAGATGGGAACAGACAGGTACATAGTGGCTTCGTAGCTGGGAAAAGGCTTGCTGCATACATGATGGCAACACCAGCACTTCTGTGTCATTAGTGACTGGAATAAGGACATTGATTTTCAATTTTTTTCTTAACTGGCACTCATGCAGAAGCTAGGGTTAGCTGTGGGGGTATTTATTTTCTTTATTCTGGAAGAAAACAAGTTTCAAAGTGTCTATCAACTTGAAGATGGCAGAAACTCTCTGATCCTTGTCATTGTTGTCTTGAACTCCACTGCTAACTAAACCCAGTGTCAGTGTCAGGTGTAACTATAAAGACTATTGTAAACTACTGTTTGCATTGTGGAAAGATGGGGTTATAACAGATGTTACTATAGTTTGGCTGATGCTTTCTTAGATTTGCCTGGAAAGTAGGAAGATGGAGGCATGACTGGACTCTGTCTATGAAACGGAGAAGATGTAGTGATAGGTAAAGGCTAAACAGAGATGGTCACAGGACCCAATTTTGGGGAATATATAAAAGTCCTTAATGATAATGCTAGCTCACACTCAGACTTTGCATTTTTCTATCCAGCTTTTAATTCCTTTGTATTATCTTCAATCCTGTGACTATTATCTTAAGCAGAAGATGAGTATGGGAGGTTGACTCTTGACAACAAAGGAAGTATTGCTACCCTTGTTTGCATCAGCAATGCGATTTGAAAGAAAATACATACAACATAAGAAAATCTGTACTAGTTGCCCATAAGTGCCCAGGGAAACATCTTGATAAAAGATAATAAGCTCTAATAACCATCTGGGAAGTTTTGATGAGACATGGCATAGGAAGGTGTCTCAAGTAGGACAATCTTTAGAGTCTCACTCCTTTGGATGCTTTGAGGCAGCATGAGAGGCTACCAGTGGATGTTGGGGAAATGAAGGTAAGAAAAAATGAAGCATTATTTTACTGTGATAATCTGTGTTCCTGGAATTCCCCAATCATACAGCGTAGTTAATTCTGAGAAGACTTACTTCATCATAACCAGACTCCATGGCACAACAAGGGAACAATAGGGATCACTGATCACCTTAAAAGCTGGCCTTCTCAAAATCACTTGCCAAGGAGGCAACACATCTCTCTCAAACAATAGCACAAGAAACTCAAGGAAAAGTATTGGAAAAGTTCTACTGGACAGTAATTGTCAGAAAAAAAAAATGGCCTGGCAACATGGTAGTGCTGGGGTCATGGGGTCAGCAGGATCTTCTAGGCAGCATCAAGACTCACCTCCTTTTGATGGTGAGCATCACACCTAGGAGGATGATGATGAACATGAGGAGGCCAGCGATCACACCTGCCATCTTCACTGTGCTGTCCACCTGTTTCTCTGGTTCCACAGTGTTAGAATTCTGGCTGGAAGCACCTTGAGAGGAAAGGGGAAGGACAAAGATGTTAAAAAGGCTTACAGGTAACCAGACAATAGTGACAGTGACAGCAGTGTCTATTTATTAAGGCTAACTATGTGCCAGGCACTGTGCACATTGTCTCACATAATACCCTTTGAGAATTAGTTCCTGAAGAGATTGGGATTAATATGATGTCCTCTTAGAGATGAAGAAACTGACATTCTAAGCAATCAGGGGAGTTTCTCCTACTTGCCTTGTGGGAGCATAAGATTTTATGCATTATGTTGCTTTGCTATGAGAGTTCAAACCTTGGCTCACTGTTCAGTTCTTGGGTTTGTAGTATTATGTTTCAGATTATGTAATGTAAATAATAGTTTTATGTTACCATAACACAATTAAAATCACTGTGATCTAGGGATCCATTTTGTTTTATTCCTTATAAGAAGCCCACAGTCAAGCAAAAGAATAGTAGATTTAAAGGAATTGCCTTGGGTTAAGAAAACATGATGAATTTCAATATGGGCAATTATGTAATACTATATGCTAACTTGTTGACTCAGTCTCTGGTAAAGGAAAGTAAAAACTGACCACTTATTATGTCTTTAGGCCTATGTGGGTGACTCAGGGCTCTAACTTGACTGATCCTCACAAACAGGCCCAAAGACAGACATTGTTTTTCCCATTTTATATATGAGGGGGGAAAAATCCCCAAATCAAAAAAAAAAAAAAACAAAAAAAACAAAAAGCAAAAGGACTTGCTAGAAGTCGCATGGGTGATATTAATGTCAGGAGCAAGATCCTCCAAGTTTGGTGATTCCAAATTTAGGCCATAATGGCAAGAAACCTTAAATTCAGCTCCTGAAGCCCCTAGATCCTCATCCCTCATCTTTTTTGCTCTATAGAAAAAGTAAGTAAGCAAAGGAAGGTATATTCAGCCTCTTCATGCATTTACTAAGGATGGAAGGCTATTTCCTGTCTCAGACATTCTGGAGAGTAGGTAGTCCATGGGCTACCAGAATCCAAGGGCAATTTTGTCCTCCTGTCTTTATTTCCCCATTAGAATCACTTTTTTTGTGTGTGTGTGAGGCAGTTTAAAGTCAGAAGCACCTTTTCCCAAACTCATCTCTACTTTTCTGCAACATCAGCACCAGTTCATCCTTCATCAGCCAATATACCTTCTGTGGCCTCCTGTGCCTCTGGCAGAGTTTCTCTCTTCTCTAAATTCTGATAACACTTTATAACACTTTGCACATACCTCACAATATCTCTTACCACAATGTACTGATATTATTAGTTGCTTGTTTTCACATCTGTCTTTTCCACTGGTCTGCAAGCTCCTCGAGGGTAGCATTAGGCCTCTTTTATCTTTGTTTTCTATGTTAGCACAGATCCTGACTCATAATGGGGGATCACTAAATGTATGTGGCTGTTTGGTATTTGGCTAAAGGGATGATATCTCCGCTTGCACACATTTGTCCTCATGGAACCAAATTGAGTTTTCTCTTGCTTTTAGTCATGTATTCATAGAACTTAGCTGACCATCAAATTGAAGGGTTGTTTTTCAACATAAAACTTCAAATCTGATTCCCCGAACTCACTGTTGTGTAAGAGCAGGCCTCCACCACATTGATACTTTTCAATTTTTTTATTTTGCTTATGAGTGTAGAATACATATTCTCTCCAGGCACTTTCCTCAAACTTTAGTTAACTTTAGCAAGCTGGTTTGCTTAGCAGAGTGTCCTTGGTGGGAATGGGAAGCCTTTAAGTGTAGGTGTTGTGTCCTTTTCATTGCTATAATGCCTATGTCCAGATATTACTATGATGGTTTTGGGATGATACAAAAGTGCACAGGCCAGAATGACTTATTTATTCATTCAGTTATGTGTCTTTAGTGCCTGTGTGTCCAAGTGCTGGGTCCAAACTATAGTCTCTGAAGTGTCCAGAAACTTTTCCTAGAAGTGGTTAGAGGTGAAATTTTTATTCATTGTTTCCACTAGATAAAGGCAAGGCCAACTCACCCCTCCTCAGGGCTGTGTGTCAAAGTTCCGCCATCCTTCAGCCCAGTGACTTGCTGGTGCACAGGGATAGCCAGAGCATCTTTAGTTAGGGTAGTCTGACATTGCAGAGTCAGGGTTTTTATGAGTGGCTCCTAAACAGTCTCTACTTATGAGACTGAAGGTAGGATTTCTAAGAAAAAGCTAGTCTATAATGTACCAAACCCAAAGGGAAGAGAGCACATCAAATAACAAAGCTCTCCAATATTGACAGTTTTTAACTTCAGAATTACAGGAAAGGTTGGCTCTAGACCATTTAATCATTGGTGGATTTAAACTTCACTAAGTACCTGTTCCAAGGTCCTGTTCTAGAGGCTGGGAGCTTAAGGCTGAGAGGCCCTGAGAGTCTCTTCTTATGTAAGGTCTCTGTTGTCACTGGTCTAATAAGATTCACACCCACTCCTTAGGTAAGTATTTGCAAGCATCTACTAGTGGCAGGCATCTGGCATCATTGTGGTGAGCAAAACAGTCACAGTCCCTGTCTTCAGAGAGTTTCCAATCACTGGTATTTGTAACTATGGGGATATACTTAATAAATCAATAATTAGTAATTGTAACTGTGGTGGTTTTAAGAAAATAACCACAAAGGGTGTGGCATTATTAGGATGTGTGGTCTTGTGGGAGTAGGTGTTGTCCTGTTGGTGGAAGTGTGTCACTGTGGAGGCAGGCTTTGAGGTCTCATATATGTTCAAGCCATGTCCAGTGAGACAGATCACTTCCTATTACCTGCAAGTCAAGATGTAGGAATCTCAGCTGTGTCTCCAGTACCATGTCTGCCAGCATGCCATCATGTTGATCCATAATGATAATTGACTAAACCTCTGAAACTGTAAGCCACCCCAATTAAATTTTTTTCCCCTTGATAAGAGTTGCCATGGTCATGGTGTCTCTTCACAGCAATAGAAACCCTAAGACAACAACTTTCTGCTTTGTTAAGAGTTTGTACAGAGAGGCACATGACCCTTTGGAAAAGTATAACAGGGAAGTTAGTCACTTCTGGGAGGAAATGGCTAGTAGGGTGAGCTCCAGGGCTGTAGCTAGACAATGGAAGCATACAGGAGCAGTATGACACCCTGGGTCAGGCTGTGTGACTGGCAAGGAACCGGGTGCATGGTAGAAAGGCAGTGTTTAAGGAGCCAAAAGCATAGAAAGAAGACAGACTAAAAAAGATGCTGAAGAGGGCAGCAGGAGCCAGTTCACACATGACACTGTAGGCTATGATGATGGTTTTGCTCTTTAGCCCAAGCAAAACAGTCAGACATCTAAACACTGTTCATGGGACAATGAAGGGGTAAGATTTGTTTCCAGCATATCATCTCAGCTTCATTGTGGAGCCAGAGTGGCTTGGAGAAATGAGTTTGCAGATTATTGTAGGCACCCAGGTAGAAGATGATAGTCACAAAAACTCAAGAATAGCAGTGAAGATTTGGAGATGCAATACAAGTGATAATTACCTGAAATAAATATTGTTGATAGATAGAGCAAGGGGAAAAAAGGAGAAAAAAATGACAAGGGTGGCCACAGATTTTTGGGTTATAAGATATGGTAGATGATAGTGAAATTTATGGCTTCAAGAAATTGTGCAAAAAGAAAAACTAGAGTGACATGCTTGAGTTTAGAGTAATTTGAAATTGAAGGTAGATAGTTAAAAGTGTGAGTCTAGTGCTCTGGGGGTGGGGAGTCTGAGCTGTAGATAAACGGATCAATTCTTAAATATCCATAAATGGTATTTGTAACATGGGAGTTAATGAGATTACCTAGGAAGGGAATAGCAAGTAAAAGGAGAAGCAGGCTTGGGCGAGAGACTTGTATCTTAGTAGTGTCCAGGGAGTGGGCAGAGGCAGACAAACCTGCACACAAAACATGAGCATCTAGACAGGGAAAGAAAAACTGAGTATGGTGTCCTAGAACCAACGGAAGATGTATTTCCAGAAGCAGGGAATGATTGGCTGTGCCATACACTGTTTCCAGGGTGAAGTGCCATGCTCCAAGGTAAGTGAAGGTCTTAGTTTAGTGTTAAGAAACCTTTGCCCAAAGACCAAGATGTTTTTGATAGAAGCTCCTTAATCAGTAACCATGACCAACCAATAGTACTCACTTGAGGGCCACAGAGAAACATCCAGACTCTGGGGAGTCTCATAAAAAGTGACAGCCCGGTAGAGAAAGGTTCAGAGAGTTTAACCCAAAGGCCTCAGAGCTGAAAGCATGGACTGCATGGTGAGGTTATCAGGGGCAACTATGCTTTCCTGGTCCATTCAGGCTTAGAAACAACTATAAGAATATTCAGAAAACTCAACTTTCACTTATTCTTTAAGACAATTTTCAGTAGTTACCAGGGACTTGCTTTCCTGTTCATAAATTAACGGCATTGACAATTCAAAGGTGATAGACAAGTGGAGAGAATGACTCTGGAGAAAAGATAAGGCAAGATGACCTGGGTGACCTAAGAGGTAGAATAGAGGGATAGGGACATGGGATGTTCCAGTGACTTTTCTGTTGGGAGTCAGTGTTATGTGCTCAGGGCTGGCACTGTAGATGCTTGGTGATGAGAATGAGAGCTGAGTTCAGAGTTGCAGGGAAGCACAATACCACTGGCTTCTCACAGGGCTGCCTACCAAGATGAACATCTTTCCACAGGTACCATGACCAAGCATGGTAAGTCAAAGGCTGCCTGTCTGACTCAGTGCCCCAAAACCCGAATAAGGGTATTCCAAGAGATAGAACTGGGAATCCTCCAGAGTTGCTTAATGTCAATTCCAGTCCCTAATAGATTCAGTCTCTGACTCTGATGATTTCTGTCTTTTAGTCTGGAACTGAGAGGAAGGAAAGAGATTCAGGGATTTGGCTGCCTCCCCTTCACCCTTGGCTTCCACAGGACCCAAACTGAACACAATCCGAGTAAATCAGAAATGGCAATGAGGTACCAGGTGATAAGTTATCCAGTTAGATAAGCTTTAAGTCTC